GTCCAAATGGTTGCATGCAAACCTGGGCAGTGATGCTCACTCTGTTTGAATCATGTGGTATAATTTCCATTATAATGCAAGTTTAGATTTAATATTAAAGTACAATTCATAATTGTAAAAATGAGGATACTTCAACATGTATAATAGTATTCTGTTATGTTTTTTATTATCCCCATTTAACTCCTACCAAAATATCTATCACAAATTAATTCAATTTTAACTAGTTTCCTCAGGAAGGGAAAAAGACCACAAGTTTGGTTGAGGACAATGTAGCACTTTAAAGCTTTGGGCGGTCTGGCTGTTCTGAATTGGAAATGTTACTGTGGTCTTTTCAGTTGAGGGTGTTTTGAACACAATTGGATCCAGAAGCAGTGGTAGAATGTTACCCAATGGAGGACATAGACTCCAGGACCCTTCATTATCTTCTCCCAAGTACTGTATAATACTGTCTCACTTCAAATGGGCCCAATCATGGCAAACAAGAAGTTGCAAACTAGATTCTTAACAGGTCATTTCTTATGCTTTCATGGATTTAGCATAATTTTCTCTTAGGTTCTAAAGCCTTTAGCACTCTGCCATGGTCTCCAGGAAATGTTCAAAATCTTGGTGAATTGTTAAATAAACTGCTAACATTAGATTAGATCTGTGGCTTTTTTTGCTCCCTAAATCTCCTCTTGTTTCAAAAACAAGGGTTCTAGTTTATTCTTTATATGACATTCTTCTCTTCCCTAAAATGAATCCCCTCTCAATTACTGTACACGTAGATGGGACAGGAAAATACTGCAGGTGAGTTGATGATATGGGTGGTATATCTTATTAGAATGCAGTGTGCAACAATAATTTGTCTTGATCTAAAAATATATACCTTAGCTAATCCACTGTAAATCTCAACATAGAATGGATGTAAGAACAAAAGTATGGAAGTATTATAACTATAGTGCCTTCAAATGTGAATGTTATGACTCTGCTGCTGAACAATCAATTCGTGCTTCAGCCAAGTTTTTATTTTCATGTATTGCTTGCAGGACTAATTGCAGTCAGAACATCTATTTGGGTGGAGACTGAAATACTGCTGGATTGCACTTGGTTGCATTCATTAGTGGAATTTTTTCATCTGTATAGCCAGAGGTTCAGCTAGAATCCTGGCTAGTGCAAGAAGTGTGGCAGCTTGATCACATGATTTTTCTCATCTTTAAACGTATTTGATTCGGTTCCTTTTCACATTTTTCATGTGCGCTGCCATATTTAGGACTTTCCACTATTTTGCTGTTTTGCTTGCAAAATGAGTCAAAAACGTAATCACAAAAATGTGCTTCACACAATAAAGTAAATGCTGCTGGCTCACAGCTCTTGCATCCTGGCTCCGGTTCCAGACGGGGGCACTTTTCTAAATGTCACATGTTCTACCCATGTTCTCCAGGTGCTCTAGTTTCCTTCTACCTTCTAAAGACGTACTGGATAGATTAATAGTCTCTAAATTATCCCTGTATACCCTTTGATAGACTGGCATCACCTTCAGGTTGTTGTCACAGCTTTTGGGATAGATATTGCATTCCTATGACACTTACCAGGAAATTTCACATGAAGTGAAAATTACTATAGCTTATTTTGATGATCATAACTTGTGAAATATTCTGAAGATACATGTAAGAAATATCAATCATAAAAGGATTTCAGGATTAACAGAAAATTTAAAATCAGTTTGCAAATTCAAATTTTCTTGCATTACTTATGTTGTTGACCATGACCTATATTGACAGAGCACATTATTAAATTCACTTTGTGTGCATTTATGGGGTGTTAAAGATTCTGAATTGTCTAGCTCCAAGATACATGAAGGAATATGCATGAGTTTAGTCCAGCTCTGAATCTGAGATTTCTTGATTCAGGTCTTCTTGATTTTAAGACTAGACCTTTGGGTGATATACTGTATATCATTTCACTGTTAAACAACCCGATCATAGAACTCATTGCCAAAATCCATTGGAGACATTGTGGCTCTAGACATGTTTAAAATGTGCTTAAAGATTTAAATTTTTTGCAAAAGTTTTTAATATGTATCGAGTATCAAAAGAAAGAGCCATTGAATATCACAGTAAGCCACCTGTTGATCAATTACAAATCTGCAAAAACAAAATGACTGGTAATTTTTGGTAATGTCATTACAAAAATGACTTTATCAAAATCATGTATGTTCAATTAGATGTCAGAGCACCTGCTACAATTTACAACTTTATGTATATGTATTTAATAATACATTTGTAGCATTGTTATTGATATAACATTGTTATTGTTGTAACATTGGTTTTACTTAGTTACTTCACTGTATGGAAACGTTTTGGAAAGCAATTGTAAATATAATGTATTATATTATTACAAATAAAAAATGGACACACCTCCAAAAGAATTAGATAATTTGTGTTGTGGTTTATCTTGAGGATAAACCTTTGTTTTCATTGAACTTTACAACACTGAAGCCATAGCTGTGAAATGAATCTTAACCTTACTGGCTTCAACAATACTAATGAGAAATAGCAGCACTATATGTGTTATTTCACTGTGCAACTATCCACAGAACAGACAATTATTCTTTGAATTTAAAAACATTCTGTATCATAGACAATTTGCATATAAGTCTAAAGTCCACATGCTGCCTTTCAGACTAAACACTCAAACAAGTTATTTGACTTCCAAATAATTTTTTGTATTTCACATGCAAAATTGTGAATACACGTTTCCGAAAACAAGCCTGATTCTTCACACCTGCTGATCACTGCTGCTTCATTTTGCTTTTTCAGGAAGTCCTGGCTCCTGGAAAAAGTTGAATCATTGTGAAGTACACAGCCCACTTCTATCATCCTTTTTTATCTGTGTCTGCATAGTCATTCCTGCAAGCACAGCTTTCAGAAGGAAGGAAAGAGATGTGTCAAATGAGGTTCAATAAGGTTAAGCTTATAATGCGGATAATCTTGTTTACTGTGAACTTGTTCCTTGTGCATTATCTTCCGTTCTAGACAGCAGTGGAAACATGTATGAAATGCAGCACCTTTACTCACTGTAGCTAATAGCTGAGTGGAGAAACTCAGGCAGTTTTCCACCAAGTTCAACCTGTACAAAACAATACAATTATAGCATTCATTTATCAACTTAATAAAGCCAAATATGAATAAAACTTTTGATTAGGTCATTTCCTTGGAAAAATGATTCTCTGAATTTCTGCTTTCATAAAGACGTTTAAAATGCTTTTAAACACCATACATCACCAATTTCCTTCCCCTTACTGCCCATCAATTCTAATGTAGGAAAAAATATTTGCATATCTGTGTATATCAATTTGTGCATAAGAAAAATATCAGAAGATACCCGTTTGACCTGTACAAGGTTGCACATTAATTGTGACTTTATTTGGGTTGGAAAGAAATAAAGAGGTGAACAGGTTTTCACCTAGAGAACATTTATATTTATATATTACTATTAACAGTCCATTCACAGTACCTAATAATATGTGGAGGGATGTGATTATTGGCTAACATTGTATGAATCCTTGTCACCAAATTTTAGCTGAATGTTAAAGACCGCACACTTCAGCAGAGGAGACATTTAACAGGCACGAATGTTTACACATATACTTTCAAAGTTCATATACTTTCCATTAATTTATAATGACTGCTTGATTTTAAAATACACCATAGCCCTGAAGGGTATTCCTTCTAGAACAAATATGTAATATATATATAACTAGGACTGCTTTGATGAATGTTTAAGTCACATTTTTTTTTTATAAAGAGCAGGGGAATTTGACACCCTGAGTTCCCCTGTATGTTTGTTTATGTTGTCATACACTGAACCTCAAAATGAAAAGGTCTGTACTCTAAACGAATGGTCTTCCTCACCCTATTACATAAAATATACACTTAGGGGCAAAAATCCTGTAATTTAAATGCAGTCCTTTTTCATATAAATATATATTGTGTGAAACAATTTATTAGCCCCTCCAGACGTCTTTTATTTATTTGAGCTTAATGTAGTGTTCCCTATTAATCTGCAAGTTATTTGAAGATAATGCAAACCATGTGGTCCTGTCCATGGTCTGCAAGTGATAATTTGATTGAGCCTAAGCAGCCTGTAATAACCAAAGCAGGTCTATAGTAAATTATATGTATTTAAACATTACTTCCAAGCAACAAATGTTTATAATGCTAGCACAGAGTGAAGCATTTAATACACTGGTGAACAATTCATTTCAAAAACTATGTTCTGCACTTTCTCTAAACCTAAAGCATAAGATGTAAAGCAATCTGTGTATCCTGTGTAACGTGATCCTGTGTGAAATGAATTTTTCTCATCCTGATTTGGACAAAGCTTACCTGCTTCGCTTGAGTGGCATTTAGGATGCAGTAATTTGTAGCGCCTTTCAAAAATTAAGTAGGACTTTCCAATTAATGCATTAACAAAGCACAGGGACCACAGAACCAAGAACTAAAACTTTGGAATACTCAAAACATACATTTTTTCTCAAATACTTTAAATGTATAAATATGGCTAGATTGTTCCATGTGCAAATACAAAAAACATGAAAAAACTACAAGTAAAATAACAGCATCACCTCCACTGTGCGACCTAATATTTTGTATCCACTGGAACTGCACCTGACTCACACCGACTGAGCATTATTCCATCAGAATATACATAGCAGGGATGCTGTAAGTCACTGTACCTTGAAAGGGAAGCTGCACGTATTAAGCATAGATACTGTAGATCAACTGTACACTTCTGGAGAGAACAGATACATATTTCTGGGCTTCATACATTTACCAAAAATATTGCATGATGTGCAATTTTTATATATTTAGTTATCATGTACATGAATACCTGTAAGACTTTTTTTACATCAAAGACATAATAAAACATTAACCTCGATCACACAAAGGGAAAAAAAACAATTACAATAGCAGAGGAAACTGGCGAGAATGCAGTCCAAGAAACACTGAGATTACATCTGAATGTCAATGACTTTAATAGATTTACAGTATTTTTAAAATTATTATAATAACAAAGGCAGAAATGTATAAAATAATTTAATTTTCCTCTACGGTTATATGTACTGAATGCATAACAAGGCAGTCAGCTTTATACAAGTTGTCTCTGCAGTGCTTAGTTCTACTGTATGACTTAATGCAATTCATGCAGTAATGAAGAAACCAAGTCGGTGAGAAATCTCCTGCCTTGAATCTTTGTTCCTCTTGGGATACTCAGACATGGGCCCAATCTTAACGCAAATTCCATATGCTGTCTGGAAGCACCACGCACAGGTTGTCCAAACGAACACTGAATAATGTAAACACAAATATACAAGCGGATATCTTTCTAAACAGTTCAAATACTGTCACAGCTTCTCAGCTGTGTAAGTAGTCAGTCTGTATACACTCTTTAGTAGAATATCATTTTGAGTTAAATAAACTTTTTTTTTAAATAGTCATTAACAAAACTTCCTTGTTTTCACCAGTTTGCTCTGATACTTGACAGAATGCCCTCCGTGCCCCACAACATAAACATCCAGTAGGTAGGATTTTCCAGGCTCAAGGCCCTTTATCGTTTCTGTAGTGACAGCTTTCTGTAGATTCTGACTATGAAAGTATTTGCAGAGGACTTTTTCAGACTTCTTCCTGGTCTCTGGGCCCATGCACTGATTCTGCTCTCTTTTCCTCTGCTCTTCATTGTAATTGTCATGCACTTCTTTTTTGTAAATGCAGAACTTATTCCTTTCCTGTGTGCCCAGCCATGCTACAGTTGCAGAGGTGCATGTGCGCAGTTTGTCAAAGGCTTTAATGCGGGTATCCTCCGGGAGAGATGGAAATGGCTGTTTGTTGGGCCTCGTGGTGGCTAGTATTTTCAGCATTGATGCACCTTTCCTGCTGCCTCTCAGTCGAATGAGGTACTTAGCCTTGGCTTTCCCCCTAAGCTGGAACTGCCTTACACCCTCCACGTTCTGAGAAAGCAGAAGTTTGCCATCTCTCCTAACCTGGATTTGTATGGCATCCAAGCATGAATGAACATAAAACATGACCTTCTGATGTGACGACACTGGCGCAAACCTCAAGAACTTGCTCCCCTTTCTCTTGATGAACACATCAGTGACTTTCCCGTCTTTCAGTTCCACTGTCTTCTGCTTGGCCTCTTCTTTAGTTTTGGCAAAAGTACCAACATACGCTGTACTCATGTTTGTAACAGTGCTCACTGCAAACACATCAAAATAGTACTGGGTGTCTGGCTTCAGGTCAGACACAGTGAAGATATTCTTATTCCCTATGCAAACCTTCTGGAGATCCACTTTCTGCTTAGCCAAGTACGAACGAGACATCTTCGTAGCCACCGATTTTACCACTAACGACCGATCCTTGCCAGAGTCATTCTCAGATGCAAACCCAAAGTGAGAGAAATCAAAAGGGCTGAAGTCCAGTCCAGGTTTGGGCGCCATCATAAATGCATCATCAGCATTACTTTTGGCCTCCACAGCACACAGACTCTTAAAGTTGTGCTCTTTATTAATAACCACACAGTACTGGATAGGCTGCCTCATTAGAGAGCCAGTAGGCGTAGGTTTCCATGCCAAGGTGACAGTGGTGCGCCCCAGGGAGGTGACGTCCACTCGTGGGTCATAGGGCAGCTCAGGATAAGGCTGGTCTGATTCCGGAGTCGTGGTGGCATAAACTTTAAAATTTGTGTCCTTCTCTGTTGAGATGAGCTCTAACTGATACAAGCCGGAAGGGGAACTGGAAGCTACATAAGACTCAACATCATTGCCTTTATATGAGAAAAGCTCAGTGCCTTCTTCACTGATAATCTGTTGCTTTTGTTGGTCCAGTGGTTCTGGTGCACCTGCAAAAAGAACAAGAAATTTGTTTTCTTGGTTTCAGTTATGTAAATGGTTTAAAGTCAGATGTAGACACTCAGTAAAAATATAAACATAATGGATACAAACACATTTAACCTTAACTTTAACTGTAAATACAAATTACACTTCAAAACCTTAAATGTAGGTCAATATTACTGCATTTCTTCTATTTCTTTCTTTCAAGTAAATACAATGGTATTTTGGGTTTTTTTTCATTTACTGGACGTTTACAGTAGCACGATATGATGTTAATAATTTCCACTGGAATTAAATCTGTCTCAAACTGTAGACGTCATCTCAAACTGTTGATTCTAATGAAGTCATAGAAATGTTAACTGACCTCTTGACACAATAGGTAATTTACAAGGCACTAAGACTGTTTTGAGACAAAACAGTCTTTAACATTTGAAACTGTTACTCAGTTTTTCTTTTTTTTCTTTCCTGGGCAATGAATACATAAGCAGCCCCCTTGTTGCCTTCACAGAAGGCAGTTAGTCAAAGACTTTTTTCACTGTTCATAGAAAACATAATATTATGTTTTCAGACTAACTAGTAGAGTTGACAGCTTATTAGACTAATCTGACTGCAGTACACCATAATGAAGAAATCTGCCAGAATGGAATAGATGTACATAAGATGAGAGTGTATACTGACAATAGGAATAGTAAAGCAGACATGAATAGGATTTGGTAAAAGAACATCTTTTCGTTACTGTATATTTTATAAAGTGTATTACATGGACAAGAAGGATTTTTTTTCTTTCTCTTGGGATCTAAACTAAGTATTTCTCAGCCAGAGCATCATATAGTCATCTCTGGCTTGCTGAACAGACTACATGGATGCAAGTCACAGAATTGTTCCTGTTGATCAGAAGTTGCCAGCTTCTTCAAAATACACTAATAATGTTATACTATATTCTACTGCATCACTGTTTAATATCAGTGGCAATGGTCAATCAGCATAGACATGTCCATTAGTAAAGACATCCTTGATGACATTAACTATTAAAGAGGTTTTGAGACACATTTTGAACCATAATTGGATTTTCACATGCAAGTCCACTGATTTGTTTTATTTCCGATATTGTCCAGATGCTGAGAATGCCGGAAATGTTTTCCCTCTGAAGAGTGGAACACAAGAGGAGGCACAGGGCTATAACACATTCTTTGGAAGTAGTGCACAGATGAGATGATCATGTTAAAACAATTATGAAAAAAATCATACCCACAATAGTTTCCAATGTATTCATTTAGGTTTTATAAAATGCAATATAAAATTTTATTGTTCCTGTTTCAGTGGTATTGTTATAGTTCTTAGATCATTGTCTTTGACAGACAGACATACAGTATACAGTACGTTTTATAGAAATGAAAGTTGTGGTTTAGTTTGTGATACTATTAGAGATCAAACAGAACATGTTATAATGTTGGCAGGAACAACACTGATCTTTTGATGTTTTGAGAGATCAATAACAAAATAACACACAAGACTTATGCCTTAGTTGGTAAAATTCAATTTCAGTGTTTTAGAACACATTTAGTTCTTTTAAGCCTAGGCAATATATCTGTCTTTGTTTCTATGTTTCAGTTTTGCAAACAAAAAACAGTGATTTCAGTAATGACTGGCAATTACTCACTGCAGTTTTGAATGTCGCACTTTTAGTTAGCGTGCCAGTTTAGACATCTAATAAAGTATTTGACTAAATGATCAAATACTTCTTGCCATTCCGAAATATTAATATTCAACTCAGCAGGATAGTTTTATGTTTAACATCTACAAGGGTAACCACGGAGAGAGTAACACATTTAAGGCCACTGTCAAACAATGGCCTATGAAACGTGTAAGAGAAAAGACTTAAAGACTGCGGCATCCTTTGTGATACCTGAGCCATCACTGCTGGACTCTTCAGGAAGTTCTTGGAGGCTTAGTTTCCATTCAAGAGGAGCATCACATGGTGTCACTGTTACTGACAATGGGGTATTGTCTTCTTCCACGACAAAATAATACCTAAAATACATAAAGTGCAGAAAAACAGGTAAATACATAAGGTACAGCAAAAACACCTGAGCACCTGAGAAGCAAATCTGCTAGGCTGACGTTCCATTGAAAGTACTGTACTGGTCTCATTAAAGATGAGCCAACTAATCATTCTTCAACAACTTGAAATTAAAAACAGTGCAATCAAGCAATACTTGATACATCTATAGTTCTTAGAAAAATGCACAAATGCCATTACAGTAACAAACACAGGCATTCAAATGTTCTGAATCTAATATACAGAAAATCAAACACCACAGTTGCTTCATGCAGTCCTATAAATGATCATATTATGATAGAGTGTATTTATTCATTTGATATTTATGTTCTTAATTCTACATATGCACCATAGTATGAGCTAAAAGACAAAAAAGTCAAGCATTTTGTGCTAGAGAACATTGAACAAAAAATGAACTGTATTATTATTTGTAACTGTATACCAATGTGTTACAAAAATGTTTTATGGCTTTAAAACATTATAATGATAGCACCATATTTCATTTTCAGTACCTACCTGAAAAATACTAAATCATAAATAATAACAAAGCCATCTAGAACTGTGACCTGCAGGTTTTTTTATACTCACTATTTACCACAAACAGCAACAACATCCATCCACAGTATTCTTTCTACATAAGCTAAGAATGGTCTGAGACACCTGCATATCTACATACTTTCAAAAGCCTTGAGTTAAGGTGAAGGGTAAGCCTTGCCTAATCAGAATTTCAGTGAGAACTGAAACACACCACAAAAAAACAAATATCTAATTTTATGCTTTGGAAAGGAACATTTATAAAGACTATTATATCTGGAAAGGAATGTACCTTTTGGGTGTGTCACGGAACAGGTAACCACTGATCTCAGCTCCATCTGGGATCACAGATGAGTCATGAAAAAGCGATTTGTCTCGAATCTGCATCTGGAAGAGTTCTTCATCCCTAGTGGGAAACTTCTGGGTCCTTGCACTGAGTGTGAGTGCCAGCAATAAGACGACAGATGCTGGAAAACTCCCCATTCTAGAATAAACACATTATATTTGAGAAACAGTGAACTGAAAGATAATTAGGTTTGTTGTCACAAATGACAACAGTCCATCCAACTAATACACTCAAGTGTCTTTAGTCCAAAAACCTTGTTTTCTGTTTAATTGTGCTCTGTGATATAACAATCTGTACCAATTAGGAGTGGCTTATTGAAGTGAAAACTAACAACAAGCATACACAAGAGATCAAAGGTTCGGAACGCAGTGAATTTTTTCAAAGGATTTTGTTTTTGTAGCTGAAGAGAAGTAAGAACAATTCTTGAGCAAATGCATAAAATACCCATTATACATTATACAAAATAAATCACTGTCATCCACTCTTAGTCAGCAGACATTTTAAGATCATAAGACATACAAAATGGGATTCTGTGTAATGAAACTCTGTGTTTATTGATTTTGCCACATTGATCGCAGCTGATGGGAAGTAAATCCCCAGTGATTTAATCAGAATAATGATAGCCGATTATCCAGATACTTTAGTACCATTTACTGCAAGTGAAAGCCTGTCCTTTTAATGAACTCCCATAAAATGCAGACTAGTTCCTCACTGTCTGCCTCTCAGCTATCTGAATGTATGCCGTTTGATTCCAGGATTATGCTCTACAGTGTAATATCTTTAAAATAGAACGTTAATTTCTGTTTTAACCCTCAATGGTACAAAAACTTAAAATGTACCTAGATAAAATAATATTTAAACTTGTATTTCTGAACTCTTTCATGATAAAATAAAACAAAATACCTTTAAAAACCTTGAATGTTTAATCTGAATTAAAACAAACAAAACCTTGCTTTATAAGTACATAATTCCAAATAAGTAAAAACATGAGAGAAAGTAGCTTAGGAACATAAATTTAGAACAACAGAAAATAAATTCACAATTTACAGTGTCAGGATTTGAAAAGTGATTTAATAGATTTTTGTGTGAACTATTGCATACTAAAGAGAAAACATCTTCAGATTTCTATCAGACAGATGTTCACCCTTATTTTGCACATTTCACATACTGTAATTAGTAAGAGAAATGAGGTACAATTGAGCACTTATTTAATTAATTATCATCATCATTAGTTGAAAGTGTAAATCAACCTTATCCTGATCACATATCTCACTGTTATTAAGAAATTAAAACCCTAGACCAAGTCCAGTCTCTATAAACACAGGAATCATACACAACCCATTCTTTGAATTATTGGGGAAGATGATAAGATATCTATTCTGATCCGAAAAAGTGGGATTAACAGGTTCATATACACCTGAGAGGTAATCGCGGGGTAATTTAAAACAATTTCTAAAATGTAACTACAGTATGTGCATGTCATTTCAGAGGTGAAACATTTGCGTTTCCATAAAGGATCAAACTATGTCATATCATTTTTCATTGTTTTAAGTGGTTTACAAAAATAAAGATATGCACTCGTCATTCTAGATGTAAAATGCTTGCTCTTCCTTACCCAAAGTGTGTCATATAAAGTGACCTTGGTGTGACCATTCAATCAGTGAGCGAACAAACATTACAGAAAAAAAGAAAGTTCCTTCTTTAGTTATATTTACATATCAGTACTCTGCTATTGACACTTGTTTTCATTATTGAGAATGCATTTTTTTCTTAACAGTTGTGTAATTAAATTAGTTACATCTAAGCTAGAAGTCACAAGGTTACTAATTTGGTCCTTTATAAAATACTTTATATTTAAAAATTATTTAATATCTCCCCAAAAGGCACAATGGTGGAAAATAAATTACATAAAATCATTTGACGGTCCTAATGAATAAGAAAACATATTAAATTTCATATTGAAAGGTGTTGATGCACCATTTAAGGAGGGTGAGGAGTAAGGGGGTGTTTTTTTCTGTCTGTAATGAAGACGCTTTGCACAAGATCCTGGAATAATATATGGGTGTTTCTGGAAGAGGTGAATGTGGTTCAGATCTGATGTTTTATTACAAAGGTCCATGGAGCAACTGCAGGTGGTGACCGTGTTCTTTCTCCAGGCCCTGAAATGGATTTACAAAAATAAAACTGTGGGGTTCTGACTTTCCATCTGGAACAAATAAAGTCTAATGTTTAATTATAGAGGAGAGAGAATGCATGATTGTAATTTGGGGTAGGATAATTTTAAGGCAGGGCCAGCCACAGTCATGTCAGCTTTGTTTTGTTGCGTTTTATTTATATATTTATTCATTTTTTAGCCCTGGTTTAAAAGTAACTCTGTTCAAAACTTAAAGCAGTTTCTGCCATTGAAAGCCTACACCCACAGATTAATCAAAGCTGTTGCAGTTTTGAAGATACAAAAATATTGCTACTACAAGAGAGGTTTTACTGGAAATCATGTCCTTCCTATAGTTTCGCTTACAAGAAGCACATTACATTAAAACAGTTACTACCCAACTGATCAGTCGACTGCAAATTATTTTGTTTCACAAACTGATAAAAATTATGCCTGTTTTAAGATGCAACAGCATCAGAGCTTCATATTTTCCTACTGAACCCTTCCTTTCCTATTCAGGGTAGTGAATTGCAAGAGTCACCACTTAGCTAATGATGATTTACTTAATAACATTTATTCAAACGTACACTGAAAATATAGGTAATGTTGATTGTTCATAATGTTGATAAATTGCTTTCTTTGCACTAAGAAGTAAGAAAATTAAGATTATTATTCCTTTCCCCCGAGCACCATTATATTTCTGGATTTCTTTTTTTACCGCATACTGAATTGTGCAATAAAACTAAGACAAAAGGTTTCTTTAGGTTAAGAAATGCTGGTACTTGAAGACAAATGGATCTTGAAACATGCACTGTACAGTAACTGCGAGATAACAGAAATGCCCTCTGTAAGCGCCTTCTCTGTCATTTAATCCAGTTTGTTGTTCCAGACTAGCAATCTCCAATTAAGATGGTAAAACAGCCATAACAGGTGTGGCTTCTGCTTCGTGTTATAAATAACAAAGAGGTAAGACTTATCAAAGCAATTTCACTGTGACACGAATCCACATATTCTAACAGCAGAAAACCCATTAAAGTAACTACTGAAACAGAAGAGATTGAATGGCAGTCTTGGCCTTGACTCTCTGTCCTTCACTGTAAACCTCCACCAATAGAACCACACATGGATTTTATTAACATCAGATTTAGTAGTGGGCAAGACGGAACAAAAATACTATATATATTATAAAACAAGTAAACATGTTTAAATTTTACTTACATTACTGTGCAGAGCAAACGGAGCACAAAATGTTATGTTTTAAAAAGGAAGGCTTTAAATTTGATTTCGAAGGCCTATTGTGTTAACGTGTTGAAGTCTTAATTAATTTTTCCAGTTTTTGAGTACAAATGGAAAAGGAACACATATAAGCAGAGCTTTAACTCATGCTGAAGCCTGTAAATACTAAAGCGGTTGTACCATGTTTTACAAACCATAAAGGGACAGGTTATGAACACCACTGCGTTCTTAAATAACTGCTGGGCTTTTGTGTGTTAATCAGTGCAACAGGTTTCATTTAAAAATTCTTAGATCAAAATATTTTATATTCCCAGTTCATACTGTGATACTGACACATTGGAATATAAATAATTTAATCTTAATTCAATGGAAGTGTTCAAAGTTGAAAACGACCTTACTTGTCATATGTTTTTTTATCTGATAGTTTTCAACTAAAATAAAAAAAATCGTTTGATACTAATATTTATACATGAAAATATAACTAAGGATAACATAATCAAAGAATGTCACGATTGCAGTTTGAAATGTACCAATTTAAAAATGGTCAGTTTCGTTCATACCAGCAAGACAGCAGAGCACTACTATAACAAACTATTCGAAAGGACGCATCCGCCATCCAGATGCTGATTAAAATGCTTATTTCAGTGTTGAAGAAGAGGCTAACATTAGTGGTATTATACATCTCGATTTTTTCTTCAGTGCGTTTCACCCCCTGATACGCCAAAACACACACACATACAAAAACTACATGTCCGGATTACTCCAGCTCAAACTATCTGGCTCCTCATTGGAAGATGATTGAGGAGATATATTTGTCTAATTGGCATGCGTGCCTATAACATATATTAAAAATTTACATTTCAGCTATCAACACTAAATTGTGCGATAATGGGAATATTCCAACTGGGGATCATCAGTCAAGTGAGGATTTCAGAATACGTGATGGTATATTAACAACACTGGAGAAATTCTTTTAGGTTGTTTTCATATGCAAATTACAGTTTAGTTACGGTGTGCTATAGACTGTTTCCCTTTTATTTTATTTTTAATTTCTCATAAAGCAAAACTAGCTATGGGTGAGAACCGTCAATAATATAAATCACAGTATTAAAACAAATTCAAGTGGTAGAAAATATTTTGAGTAAACAAAATCGGTCTTCGCTTTATTGTAATTTGCTGGATTTCTGCAAATTGACAACGTAAATAACTCACAACTGTTTTATTTTGCTTTCTACGTTTTATAAACAAAATACATTATTCACAAACAGTGACGCAAATATAATTAACAAGTGAAAGCAAATAGTATCTGTTTAATTTCAGAAGCAAGTGTTATGTATCACATACGTAATACATTAAGCCTCCACTTCTAACAATAAAGTAATCCTTCATTTTTGCACAAGCCTTTCCGTGTTTTAAAAATACCATAATTTCCCAGTTACAAAAAAAGCGTTCTCAAAACAATAATTAAACACTTTGTAGTCACTAAAAATAAATTCATAATTACAACACCAACAGATGACGATACTAATGAATCTTAAACAAAAATTGTAAGATGGACCAACAGCCTTATCGTTCCCAACAGAATTCCGAGATCTGATGCGGGATGGTGGTTTAAGAAACGCAGGTGCGTTCTGAAAAAAAAATCCTTTTGGCCTCAAGAAACCAAAATATACCGTAAGTTAATAGTAGTCATCTCTGTACTCTATTCAAACAGGTTCAATTAAATAGAACTTCACATCCGAGCGCAAAGAAGAACTTTGATGGCTCCCAGAAAACTGAACTATTAGGTGCTTAGCCCAAGTGGCACTGTTACCCTTACAAGAGCTCTGCGGTGTGAAATGTTTAATTTCAAAGTTGATTGACTGTATTACCGCATATATTTTTAAACGTCTTTAAAGTTGGTTCTTTAAATATCATCCAATTCTGGAATCTGAAACAAAGCCAACTAGAAAGTAAATTAATAACTCATGCTAGCTCCAGCTTGACTGAAATGTGTTTGAAATCCTGAACTTCCTAGAGTTGTAAGCCACAAACCCTCTTACCATTTCACTGGCAACCATTTCAAAGGCATAGGGTCTTTATTCTAGAAGTCCCCTTTTGTTTTTTTACTCAGTCTTTTCAACTCAACAGTTTTCAGCAATTCCTAGTTCAACAAACATTTGTTGATCACTTACACACACATTTCAAAACTATAGAAATGGCGATATTTTCGTATAACAAATCATTCATATGATCCACAGCATATAATACCATACATTATATTCTTCATTTCTTTTAACCTTGTAAAAAACCTGCCTTGGAGTGGAAATATTATGTTGCAAAAGACAATGAGTTTAAGTTTTATTTCTAGACTACATACAAAAGACTTCAGTGGGAACATATAGATCTTACCTTAATGATTGTTCAGGATATGTAAGTTAATTAAAATCTTCTAAAACAAAAACCTGTCACCGTGGAAAAAGCGAAAAACTGAAATTGGAATAAGAAAAATTATGTATATATGAACTCAGATTAATGCCTCTCCGGAATTAAAACGAAATAAAGTTGTCCTTTTCCTGTCTCACGGATTCCTCGAGTCGATTCTGGTAAAGGGAATCGGTTTAGGGCTGTGATGCTAGTCAGGGATCTGGCGGATTTAGCGTGTCCCGAGTCTGTTTAGTATCCTGAATTTGGCAGAGAGTTCCTCCCCTGCAGTGTTAATGCTATTGAGACTCCGATTGAATTGAGCAGCAAACTGGAGCAATCTCTCGCTCTTCACTCTCCCAATAGTAATCCTAAACCCTGCCCACTAGTCCCAGACACACATCCCAATAAACAAAAAACCAACCAGAGTTCACGCTGATTAAAGACAAGGCCTATCAGAGAAACAGTCTTCAACTGACATCACTTTATGAATGAAAAACAACGTTGTCCAAGGAAATCCATGTCTTGAATGCCCCAGTAAAAGTGTTGGGGGTACTAACAAACGGAAAAAATGAACGTTTTACATTACTGTTTTTAATTAGTCTGTCGTAAATGAAGTGATACCGTTTTAAAACTTTGTTATTTTACGTAACTTTGTACCCAACACCTGTAAGACCCTACACTATAGTACAGTACATCACAAACTTTGTATCCATTTAAAACGGCACAGATGGTTAACTGAATATAAGGAACTGCATATGGAAAGCACGCTGTATTGAATCTGAGAAAAACGCGTACCCCACCTATTTACTTATGCTTATTATCAGTAAATGTTTATTGCTCTTTTGTAAAGTCTTTAGATTCTTGTTTGTCTTCGTGTATCTCTCTTTTGCCTCACAAAATAATTGGCGAATACCTCGTTGCGGTACTTCAGTGCCTTGTTGTATAAAGTCACAGGTTAGAATTGGTAGGAATGCAGTCTGCCTAATAATCTTCTATTCTGCCTTAGCAGCCTATTATCATATTAAAAACGCATTATTATAATCACATCTGAGAAATAAAAGGCTTTATCTTTAGAAAGCACACAGTCATTTAAATGATCCACTGGTTATTTGCTCTTGTGCTTTACAGTGTTCTTTTACATCTGATGTGTTTATGTGACCCTAAGATATTCCGCATTTAAGTGTGAACGCTCTGACCAGACGGCACAGCTTTGGTCTGTTCGGAGACTCTAACCCAAGGTAAACATTTATCCAAGATAAGAGTCACTGACAAAAACCCGCCGGTGACAATGGGTTATTGCGACTCAGTTTAGAACTTGGTAAGACCAAACTTTCAATAAAGAAATCAGACGTACTAACAATTACCACTACGTCTTATTATCCAAAAATGTTGTCAGGTAGATAGTTTCGAACACGAAGGGGGACGTTTAATGTATTTAATTGCCAAAGCAACATATGTACTGATTATGAGAATTGATAAAATGTGCGGGGAATCCTTATGTAACTAACGTAAATGTTGTAACCTCGTACATTTTTTCAATATTTTTATAACATACATTTAAAGAGGTTTAGCATTCAATCTAATAGCTCTTATTTATATTCTTTAAAATTAATTTTAGATATAAGTTGCACATTATGGCTAGCTTTAGGCTTTTACAGTTTATTTTCAGTTAATGCTAGGAAATGTGATGCGTTAATACAACGGCCCCATCTAGCGGTGCATAAAAAGACACCGTGACCAAAAGATGCCAGCAATGCGTGTTTGCGCATTAACTTTTGTTTCCGTCTTATACCAAAAATAAGGACGAAATGTATCCGTGTAAGTGAATGCGTTGTTCCTTGCTGCTTCCTCAGTACACCGCTTGTGTCGGATGCGGAACAGCTGAGGGTATTTTTTTTAAAATAAACGAATAATTTGCTTTAGTTGTGTGAATTTGTTTTCCACGGTTGCCACATTAAATGAATCTGATTATATTGCTTTTCGTGACAAAATACCATATATGAAACACATTGAAGAAATAATCTGAAATTATGGGTTAATTAATAATTAACCAGCCTAGTATATTTTGTTTTATTTATTTTTTAATTAAGGTGACTGATTTTGAGCTCATTAAGCATTTATAAAAACTGAAAAATGGTATAATAAAAATGAGAAGAGGCTCTACATCCTATACAGTCTGTCTGGTTGCTTGTTCCTATGTGATTTAAGGATCAGTTCTTGGTAGAAGCCATGGTATCAGTTTCAACAACATCACTAGTTATGTTTTTCCAGACTTCCACAACTCTATACCTAAAAAAAAAACTGCTTTCTTGTCATGGTTCTAAAATCCACTTTCCTGCAGTGTCTGTTGTGTCCTCTGGTCCATGTTTTACTGTTGGTGAAATCCACTGGGTAGCTGATGTTGTCAATGCTTTTGAATATTTTGGATACTTGAATCAGACGCCTTAGTAGCTCTGATGAAGACTAAAACGTTTCAGTTCTTTTAGCTTGTCAAGGTAGAACATTCCTAGGATTAAACCAGGTAATACATTGAATTTCTGGGGTGAGCTGCCATGACTTATGGCATATAGAGCTCAGAGACCAGTGAACAGGTACAGTGTATTATAACGCCCTCGCCTGGTGGTGAGGAGGAAGCGCCCTTAGGCGCTTGTAGTACCGCTGGGCATGCTGGGAGTGGTAGCCGGGGAGAGTCTGAGGGTCAGCACGATGACCAGCGGCTGACCCTACCTGTGGAAATAATAATAATGTTTCTTTATTAGCCCTATACAATTTCTTGCATTAGGAATTCATCTTTTTGCATACACCAGCTTTTCTCCATGGAGACACAGACAGGGAGAGAAGCTTGGGGTCAGAGCACAGGGTCAGCCATTGCACAGCACCCCTGGAGCAGTCAGGGTTAAGGGCCTTGCTCAGGGGCCCAATGGATTAGGATTCCTCTGCCGGCTGCAGGATTTGAACTGGCAACCTTCCAGTCACAGGCGCAGAGCCTTAGCCACAGAGCCACCGCTCCGCCCCTTATTACTAGGACAAATAATGTCCTAGTAGTTCGAGTGCCCTGTGTAGTCTTGTAAAAATATAGTGTGTTGTTAGTTAATTACCACCCTAACGATGTGTACGTGTTCCGTCAGTCTCCTCATATGCGTGTATATCCTGTGTTTGGTTTTGTGTGGTTGTTAACGAATAAAGTTAATGCTTGTTTGTTAATCACATCTCCACTCATTCTTCGTTCTGAAAAGAACCTGCAAATGCTACATTGGTGTCAGAAGCGGGCAGAATGGACAACTCGTGGCAGACACTACCAGATTCTATTAAGCGCCGGCTGACGCTGAAAGAAACAGAACCCATCGGCAGCGCACATAAGGAGCCTGAGCAACTCCTGGGTGCGACAGGTGGCCACAGCCCTTACCAGGGCTATTCAATAGTGGTCCCGCCAGTAGAATTGGGGCGACTGGCCACTACTCCTGGTCAGCGGGCACCCCAAATAGAGGATACTCTCCCTGTCGGAGCCGATCAGCGATTCCCACACCCATCGGCGCGGGTGCGACCAGGTCGCTACAATGGGGAAGCGCCTTGGGAAATCTACGAGGCGCAGTTCCAGCTCGCGGCCCGGACGAATGGCTGGAGCCAGGCGGAGATGGCCGGCCACCTGGCGGCGGCGCTAGAAGGAGCGGCCTGCCAGGTGCTCCTGGATGTTCCGGAGGAAGACAGAGGCGAATACACGGCGCTGGCAGCAGCTCTCCAGCTGCGCTTCGGTGTGGAGGAGGCGCCGGACTTGATGCGGGAGAGGCTGGCCCTGCGGCGGCGCCGACCAGGAGAGCGACTGGGCCCGGTTGCCGCGGATGTCACGTTCCTCGCCCGCCGAGGATACCCAACTTTCCCCCGGGAGGCGCAGCGGGAGATGGCTCTCCAGGCCTTTCTCAAGGCCCAATCACCTGAGGAGCTGCGGCGCCACGTGCAGCTGGCCGCACCAACATCGCTGGAGCCTTGGCCCTTGCTACACTGGCTGAGGCCATGTTCGGGGTGGCTGGAAGCGCCAGCAGACGCAGTGCGCCCTGCCGGCTGACCGAGGCGGCGACGGAGGAATCCAGCGAGGGGGAAGAGGAGCCAGCCCATGCAGCGACCCCCGCGGAACAGCCCCGCACGCTGATTTGCAACCGCTGCGGGAAGAGGGGACACAGAGCCCGGTTCTGCCTGGCACCCGAACCACGCACTCCTCGATCGGTGTCGGGAAACAGGAACGGGGCGACTCAGTGTGGGGAAGGCCGCCCCTCGAACACCTCAACCCCCGCTCTGGAGAGCGCTGTTAAGACCAGCGCCCCTCACGCCACCGTGGGGCGAGTCGGCTGTAGCCGGGGCCTGTACCTCCACTGCAAAATCGAGGACCAACCCTGCCTGGCCCTACTCGACACCGGTTCATCGGTAACCCTACTCCGGCCGGGCGTCCTCCCCAACACCGAGGGCACCAACCCCCCAGGATGGGAGGCCTCCAGCCTGCGGCTAAGGACCATGACAGGACAGCTCGCTGCAGTCCGGGAGAAACAGCTGCTTGCCTTCCGTCTAGGTGCAGCGACGGTGCGCCACCCCTGCTACCTCGCATCCATCCAGGAGGACTCATTCTGGGGCTGGACGTACTGTAGCGAGTGGGGGCCAGTTTGGACTTGAGCCGGCAGGAGTTGGTGTGGCAGGGGGAGCGACTTCACCTGGTAGAGGGCAGGCCCGGCGAAGGCTGAGGGACACGGGCTTGCCGGAGCCGGGAGAAAAAGAGGCAGTGGTGGCGACGGTGGCGGCGGCAGTCGCCGGGGCAGACCAGGCCTGTGAGCTGGGGAGCGAGCGTGCTGGATCCTGCCCCCGAATCAGCCAGGGGGCCAGACAAGCGGAGCTGCGAGGGCCTCGATCAGGACCAGGTACATGTTGTTGGACCGCGAGGGGTGGCTACGGACCCAGGTAAGGTCGCCGCAGTCAGGGGCTAGCCGACTCCACGCACCGTCGCGGAGCTCCGCAGCTTTCTGGGGTTGGCCTCGTACTACCGGAGGTTCGTCCGGGACTTTGCCAGCATCGCTGCCCCGGTGCACTGCCCCACCGACAAGGGCCGCCTTTTCGACTGGGACTCGGGCTGTGAGACTGCCTTCGGCCGGTTGCGTGAAGCTCTGGTGGGGGCCCCCGTGCTGGCCTACCCCGACCCGCGGTTGCCGTATGTTCTCGATACCGACGTGAGTAACTCGGGGGTGGGTGCGGTGTTGGCGCAGGAGGGGCCGGATGGGGAGCGCGTAGTGGCCTACTATAGTCGGGCTTTGACTAGGGCTGAACGGAACTACTGCGTGACCCGTTGCGAGCTGCTGGCGGTGATGGCGG